CTACGAATGGTTTCGCATACCGCATTAAAAACCTGTGGATGGTTTTTGCTACCAATTGCCGAACCTTCTCGACGCTACGGAACTTAAAATAGTTCGGCAGTTCAAGCACGGAACATTTTTCGTTTTTCTGAACTTAAAATCGTTCAGTCGAAGTATAGGAAACCTTTTAGGTTCGATAAAACTCCTTCTTTTTTTTGAGTGTATGATAGGAATTATATGAACAACAATGATTTAACTCGATCACCAAAGCAAAAATCAATGTAAGTTTATAAAGAAAAGTTGTGCTTAAATTCAATTGTTATAGAGTTGATCAACGTCGTTTGTTGATAATTCTCGACTGTAAACACGAAAATCATCCATATCACCATTGTATGGCATTAATGTCGCTTGACCTATCGCCAATACACCTCCAGGGAAAATATTAGCTAACGTTAGAAAATTGACAGTTCCACTTGCTGAATATGATGTTGCCGAAATATTATCTGATGCAACAAGAACATTATTGATATAAAGACGAAGACCATTATTTAAACTCCATGTTTGAACAATATGTGACCAAACTAATGTTGATGCAGCAGATTTTGGACCAATAATGGATACAGCACTACCCTTCCACATTTGGGCAACAATGGAGCCATTAGAAGTAAAAGCAAGAAATGGCATACACCAAGTACAATTACCTCCCCCTCCTAAAGCTGAAACATAAACAAGAACACCTTGAAGAGTTGTTGGTCGAATCCAGAGAGAAATTGAAAATGGTCTATTTGCTGTTCCAAGTGAGGTAAAACCATATGCCTGAAAATAAGATGAACTTGAACCAGTAAAATGAATGGCTTGAGCATATCGACCACATGAAACAGATGATGTTGATTGTGTTGTTGCTGTATCAAGTGAATTAGGACCAGTATCTTGAAGAAACACTCCATCATCAAATGTAAAATGAGCAACTAATGTTGCCATTTCAAGTATTTCACATGATGACTTAGTTCGATTCGAAACGGTGACTTGATCCATATAGCCCTAAAATATTCGGAAATATATAGAACAATTTGGTTTTTCAAAGGAAAAATGCTGCGCTTGATTATGGTTAATTCTAGTAAGAGCTGTATATATGTAACAATTTACCTGAAAATAAGTCATAACGCTGCTACCATAAACGGCTGCCATCAATGGTACAAATCCAATTGTAACACCAGTTGTTGTGCTAGCTGTAGGATAAGATGATGCAGTACATGTTTTGTCTAACATCCCATTGACGTAGGTCGTTTGTTTTAATGTTGACAAATCAAATACACATGCAGCATGCATCCACGTATTTAGCATTAATGGTGTCACACCTATACAATCACTGTTATAAAAGGCAAAATATAGATAATAATTAGCGCCATTTTTACGAATTGACAAATGCAAACATTGATAAGATGCAGCTGCTGCACAAAGACCAAATAGACCATGCTCCACAGTGTTCGACAATCCAGTAATATAAATCCACATATCAATAGTAAAGCTTGTTGATACGAGTGGAATAAATGGAACATTAAGCATTGGGTTTGTATTAACAAGAAATCTAAGAGCTTGTCTGACATAACCCGTTGTAATGAATGACATATTATTTACTGGTGTGGCATTATAATTATTCATTTGATCACCATAATTTCCATCAAATGACCATTGAGCTAAGCGATTAGCGGTTGAATTCCATGTTTTATTTGTATATGTAGAATTACAGAAAGACCTCGTGGTTGTCACTATTAGAAAAAGAACATTTTAAAATAAGAGGTTTCCTCATGAAAAGATTCACCAATAATTATATATTTAAACGCGCTAATCTAATACTGCAGCATAACTGCATTGATACTTACCACCTGATTGAATTAATAAATTAAATTTCTGTATTCGATTATTTTTTTGATCAGCAACAAAAAGATTTCCACAACTATCAAAAGCCAAACTGGAAGGGTTATTTAATTGATTTGATGCTGAGCCTGATGAATTCGTACATCCAACTAGACAACGAAAACCATTTGCTCCTTGACCAATAATACGATGATTACCATAATCAACAATAAATAAATAGTTATTATTGTCTAACACAATTGCAATTGGACAATTGAGATCAATTGTCACATTGATTGATCCCTTTCCAGCTATAGTTGTAGCCGTTGATCTTTCTGATTTAAATAACTGAATTCGATTATTTCCACAATCTGCAACATATAAATCCAAAGTAATATTATCAATGAATATTCCGTGCGGATTTCTAAGTGTCGTTGATGTTGATCCAGCACTACCTGTCCCAGCAACACTTAATATTGGATTCCAATAATTAATCAATGAACTAGCTAAAACTTGATGATCTTTACTATATGAACAATAGAGAAGATCATTTCTACTAATAAATATATCTGAACATTGATGACATAAGTTTATTTTTGGTATTGAAATTGTTGAATTCAATGTTATTCGATTAATACCACCAATTGTATAATATGTATCTATATAAATCTCATCGAATGGCTTAACAAATATAGTTGATGAATTTGTTAAATTAATAGAAAGATTTTTTCTTGATATTAAATTTCCTTCGATCAAAAGAATAATTTGATTTGCATCTTGATTAGGAACATAAATTAAATTACGATTGTCGATAAAAATATCAAAAAGATATGATCCGATCAAAGTACTATTGGCAATAGTGGTACCATTTGCATTCCATGTTGCATTTAATGACAACATTGGTTGATTATAAGAAATACCTAAAACGTAGAAAATGAATATTTAAAGTATCTTTGATCAGATTAACTGTTCGTATGAAGATGATAGAGATTTAAACAGATTTCTAATCTTCTAATAATCTACCTGATGTTTCTACACTGATGAACAGAAGTACAACTAAATTGAACTTGTCAATATAGAACATTGTAAAGAAATGAAACATTATTCAGTTGAAACACTGTTATATATATATGTTTAATTTGTTTACTCAAATAAAATTATAGAGTAGTGATTTCTTGAGTTCTCATTCCGCGACACATCAAATACATCAGGATACCATATAAAGAAATATGATTTTCATCGAAAAAATTTTTAAAATAAATAAAAGTATGTTCTAGAAAGGAGAGACCATTTTCTTCGACAACATATCCTTAAGGTAACAAATAGAGAGTCATTAGTGAATACTTCAATTGCCATATAGTATTCTCCAACAATGTTTTAATGAATATTTGAGAAAGAATGAAAGAGAATTTAAATTACCAAATTTGCTCTTCTTTTGTTTCCACTGATATATAAAGTTAGCCGATAAAAAGTTAGCAGACGAAAAAATGAAACCATTTTTCAAAATCACTTTTATATGAAGTAAAATACTATTTTAAGCTATATGATTTTTAATTGTAGTGGATAGCAAATGATTTATTCTGTCTTTTTCTGAACAGATGAAACGTTCACTAATTCTTTCGAATCTTGGACTATTTCTTTTTTACATTCACTATCACCCTCTATATTAAATAAACAGTATACACGTATAAATAGACAGAGAAACAGCTTGATTATTTATTTTCAAAAGTTTTTTTTTAGATAACCGTAACATAATCAAATTCTACTGTACTTATGATTTCATTCGAATTTGTCTACTATTTGTTCATAATATATCGAAATGATTCACTCTATAGGCAAAACTGTTAAGTTACTTAGATGAGAATCAGATATACCATTACGACGATAGTTCCTTATTAGTTTCATCTTTGAGAATGAGCGTTCACATGTCACTTGTGAAACCAACATTGGCATAACATTTTTGACAATCAATTCTAATCCGCCCAACCTGAGTTATTTCTAAGCCAGACTGATAAGGTTTCATATTATGATGAACTTTACGTTGTCTTTTAATTTTTCCAAATGAAATACAAAGTGAGAATAAATGTGTTCATAAGAACATACGCAAGTGTACGGTTGTTATGGATGAGAATAGAGTAGAATGGAAAGTGATTGACGAATCTGATACTTCGCAAATTAGTAAGAACGATTCATGACGTTCGAGTGTGGTAATAGATATACAGGACTCTCATTGACGCATGTCGTTAGCTGAACTCTTTATATACACTATAAACTACTATCGGAATAAAAATGAAAGGATTTGGGGCTCTGAATATTTTTAAGAAGTGATCTGTAGGATATTGTGATGCTTCCCAGGTCGAACAATCCCATACTCAAATCCGAAACATGGATTTCCTGGATTTTCTAAGGGTCATCATAGAACATAGTTAAAAAGATCGCCCATAAAATTTGCAACAACCGACGGGATTTTTCTAGTCGGATTCCAATGCAATTCCGTTTCCAGGAATCCGATCGGATCCAGCATCGGATTTGTTGACCTGGGATGTTGTAGATATACTCTTCATCATTGAAAAAGTTTTTTAGGTGGTAAAATTTCACGCTGTCCAATAGTGGAATCGATTATGAATATCAAATGCGATTTCAGCAACAGAATTTAACGATGAAGTCAGAGGAAAATTTTGAGATTCAGATGTTGATGGCACAGATATCTATTAATCAAATTTGTTTCTGATTTTTCATCATTATTACATGAATTTTTTTTGTTAAAAGTAAAAAATAAACGCCTCTATGAATCTAAATTTTTCTTGATTCATTTTCAACTTTTTTTTACGGGAACGAAGTATACTTGTGAAGTAAACTTTTTGATTAACCAATGAGTTATGACGTCATTTCCAGGGGAAATTACAAATTCATAATTTTGTAATCTGAAAAGGAATAGAGACTTCGTCCCCATATAGGTGATCCTTGACGCCGCCACTAGGTGTCTGGAAGAAAAACGAATGGGTGGAATATTTTTCATTATGTTTTGCCTATTTATTTGTGTAACTGAACACACAATATACGATTAGTTTATTAATTCAATAAACGTCTGATTGAATTACTTTTGTTATTATTATAGATGATCTATGATGAATTTTCTTTTCATTTAAACATTTTATTTCGTTATATAAAAAGAAAGAAATATTTAATTGATAATTCAATATAATTCTAATGACATTTATCTAAGTTATTCTGATATATTTAATATTATTTCAATAAATCTTGATTTCATTAATGCAACATAACTTTATTTTTTTTTAATAAGAAAAGTATTTTGAAATATTTCTCGTTATTCGATCATACCAGTTATTCTTACAGGATTGTTAGCACCACGACCCGAACCATAAGTCTGATAATAGTACCATAAACTGATTGAATACGAGTGTCCAATAGTAACAGTAAAAGATTGTGATAATATGACAGATTCACCATTGCATTTATTGAAATAGGAATGATTTGCTGAATGAGATAATGTAGTATCAAAATTAGTCTCAGTGGCTGAGCAAGTATTTTTATTTATTATCCAATCTGTATCTGATGGATTACTTTCAAAATTTCCATTAATTAAAAGTTCAACTGATGATGAATCAAGGACGGAAATATCATCGATATTCCATTGGTCCTTATTATCTGTTTCTACAATAATCTTGAATGTAACATTTGTAGATGCACTTGCTATATAACTACATGAAGATTGTGTCCAAGCATTTTTTACTGTATTAGTATCAGATATTGACCCTAGTGTAGAATTTGGTATGTGCATTGCTAAATAAGAAGAAAGAAGAATTCATAGATAACAAAAGATTCTTTCCCTTCTTACTTGCTGTCAAAACTGTTGAAGATGTTGTTTCTAAAATAATAGAAAATAATCCCAATTATGTTTTCGTTTTTTTCAATATAAATATCAGTTACTGTTGATGTTAAGGATTCTGATGGAAGTTGTTAAAAGAAAAATATCGAATTCATTGATGTGATCAACCCAACATCATCAAGCAAAGAATAATTTCCGATAAATTGACATGTTCGATTACTGTTTATACAATTCCATCCAATAAATGATGATAATAAAGCTATACATGTACATTCTGTACAAGTTAAATTGTAGAATATTTTACTCAAATTTGATGATATATATATGTTGTATTTAAAATAAAACCGATAGATATTGAAAATATCGGATTAATCAATATTACGAAGTAACAGAGTGAAAGATTTCTCATTATTGATATGTAGTTTTTTATATTTCTATAGGGGAATGAGTAGAAATATTCCCTTATAAAACATGAACCAATATTGAATTTTTTATTTGGTAAACTACCGTTTGACTGAATCAATAGAAAAATAATTTTATAAACGACAAAAACAGCCGAAATTGAAGAGAAATAGTTGCATATAGAGCTGAATAATAAATATGAAATTAAAAAATACAAAGTTCATCTTTTAAAGTGTTCATCATTTCGTCAAATTTTAGAGTGCATTAGGTTTATTATCAATATTTTGATTTTACAATACGTACGTCTTTAAATTGTTTCTTTTAATATTGGTTAAATAAGTTGTAACCTTATTCTTGTTGATTGTGAAATATGTAGAATTATATCATTATTTTGTGAAGCTAAGAGAAAAATAGAAGAGGAAATATTTAGATGATATACGTTAATGAACTCTTTCCATTAGAGCTATATTTTCATTGAAATTTCTTCTTATTACTTGTTCTGATGTTTATTTAATTACATTTGATTACATAATTACTAAGAAAACATCACAGATTCAGCTATTTTTCAACAAAAAATATGCATATTTTTCAAAATTTTTTCAGTTTTTTTTTGTGCGTCATGTTGCATATCCTGCGGATCGCAGATACTAACGGCATCTCCAATCCGCGGGATGCATTCACATCTATCCTCGCTCTCAAACTGCGAGACTATTTTCTTATCGTCGTCGGAAACAATCATACGCAGGAGGTGCCTATCATCATCAGCAAAAACTTTTCTCTATAGAACAGAAATAAACGGCACCTCCTGCAATCAATGAATCAACATTTCATGTTCTTATATATGTCGATGAAAGTAAATTCAATAGGACTCGATGTTGTTTTTAATTTTCTAAATGATGAGACAGATTTCTTTTTCTTTTCATTCACGTAGTTTATTCAAATACGGATGTATGATTCACGCGGTCTAATTAATTATTTATTTGACATGAATGAGAAAATTTTTATCTAACTAGAAATAAGCAAATAATCATATGCTCATTTAAAATAAGTTTAAGCCCAACATCCAATAATGGTCATGAGCACAGCACCCAGATATAATGCAATAAAATATAAAACTTTGATTTCACCAGGTGTGAGTACTTTTCCATTATTAAAAAGGGATGCTGCACGATGATGTCGTGCATAACTCATATCATCCATCTTTCGCCGAGTTTCTGTCAATGGATCATACATTTCTGCACCATATGGATCTCCACCATTGATATTATTATATCCACCACTAATTAATACTTTTCCACTGTTTAATACAAATGCTCCATGATCATTGTGCTCATATGTCATATTACCAGTAATAAATCATAAATGTAATTAACATTGCCATCAATTCATATTCTGAGTATGAAAGCAACCACGAACAGGTACTAAAAGAAATCTTGAATAAACTTTGTTCATACCTTTTATACGCCAATTTGTCAAATGATAATAGTAAATATACAGATGATGATGAACAACATGAATTAGCAATACGTACTGATGTACTTGATGTACAAGTATTAGCACATAAATCTAAAATTAAAGATTGAATTGCTGGTGCACAATAACTAATATTATTAAATGATATATTACGGTGTGTAAAAATTTCGTGCGCCGTATTAAAATGATCTTTTATAGATGAATTTACACAAAAATAACAACAATTATTCTTCAGAATAAGGACCATCATGGTCCACGACATTCTGTCAACGATCTGCAAGCTTTCGGCGGATTTGGTCAAAGTACCACTCCTTGGGCTTTGAATCGAAAAATTCTTGACATGTTTCTTCAACTTCATCGAATGACTCAAATCGGCGACCTTTCATAAAATGCTGAGTTGATCGGAGGAGACCGTAGTCAGGTGGAGCAACGTCTGGACTATGGGCTGGATGCGGCAGAACTTTGAGACCGTCCGATTCTTCAAACTTGTTGCTGGTCTTTTTGGCGGTATGTGGCTTTGCATTGTCTTGTTGAAACAAAGCGCATTTTTGACGAACAAGACTTGGATACTTCTCAACCAGCGCATCGTAGACTCGATCACATTGCTCGCAGTAAAGTTCAGCGTTGATGATGCAACCATTCGGCACAAGTTCAGAATACAAGATTCCTTCGAAGTCCCACCAAACACAAATCATGATCTTCCTTTCAAATTGATTTTGCTTCGCAGTCAATTTGTGTGGATCTTGTCGTGGCTTTTTTGTAGACAAAATCAAGTTGCTAGAGATAATTCTAAACTGTCTTATTAGCGACACCAAGTTCTTCAGTCAATTCGCGTGTGCTTGATGACGGCTCAACATCCAAAGCGGTCTGCAAGTCTCCTTCGTCCAAAACCGTTGGTCGTCCGGAATGTGGCCTGTCTTCAAGATCAAAATCGCCTTCATTGAAATGCTTGAACCATTTCTGTGTAGTTCGCGATGCCACCGTACCTTCACCTTCGACGTCGCAAATTGCTTTGGCAGCTGCTTTTGCATTCAAATTCTTTCTCCAATAATGACGCAACAATACGCGAAACTCAAAACTTGTGATCTCGTAACCAGTCATCTTAAAAAATGAATAAATTTTCATAATAGCTGTGAGCTCGCTCGAACAAATGAACAAGAGTTCAGTCTGCAAAAGGTTAGGGATGCTGCAGCGTAATCAACATATTCAAAGGAAAAAGAAACGAACAAAAAAGAAAAAAAGAGTGAAAAACAAATAAGGAGGAACTGACTCGAAAGACAGAACATGGAATGAAGAGGAAAGGAAGAATGCCTTTGATGTGAGATGGAGCATAGAAGAAAAGACAAACGGTAGCGAAGACACTCGTCGTCGCTAACAGTAGCCACAAAATCAGATCAAAAACACAAAAAAGTATGAAATTCATTATTTTAACATGGCGCACGAACTGTTTACACAACGTCATATATGTTCGTTTCCTTTGCCTCTATTTACACTTATGTAAATAATTATATAATTGTCTGTTTCCTGCCATCGTGCTAGATATTGTCTATCGTGCTTTCTTTGTTTCGTTTTTTGATGTAACCATGTATAATCGTCCTAATTGTGTTGGTATTTCTTGAAAATATCCAACCATCTATTTAACATTTTATATAAATATCTATTGTTGCTCGTGTAAAAATATCTAATTTATGCTGGAAATAAACTTATGTACACAATGAAGCATTAAAAGTATAGCATCTGCAAGCGATATTTCTACGAGAAAGAGTTAAGTTAGTCTAAAGACAAGCATTGCTTGTATATTAGTTCAATGGAATAGAATGTCATAATGATTTACGCATTTATGAATTCGGTATGAAGGATAATTTGATAAACGTGCTTTTTGTCTCATTTATTTTAATAAGAGATATATACGCATCGATAGAACGATGTATAGATTTATTTCTTTTCTCTTTGATGAACTATTTAATCGGATAGCAAGGGACAAAAAGAATCAATAGAAAAAGTTATACACAGTTTTATCTGTTAATCTTTTTTTTTGTTCACATACCATTGTTTTCGAACTAAATAGAACGTTATCAAAGACAACTTGTTAAAATTAAAGTTTGTTCAACGTTTTAAAAATGATATTTTAACTTCTAATATGTTTAGCTTCTGTCTAAATCGGACGTAAGTCATGCAATTGATGCTACAGATAAAATACGTATTTTAAAATGTTAAAACAAAGATGAAGAACGAGAAGGAAAAAGATGTTAATGAAAATTAAAACAGTCGTATAAATTAGTGACATGCTGTTTTAGGTCATGTTATTATTTTATATATTTAACTGTTCAGTTTTCTACTGTATTGCAGACAATCTTTTATTTGACAATGAAAAAATCTATTTTTTTCTTTGAATTTTCTTCGAATTAATGATGATTTATATGTAGACAAGTATTTATTCGTTCTTTCCAATATTGACGAATTTCGTGATTATATATAAATAAATCTATTATTTGAGTAATGATAGTAAATACGGGTGGAATTTGTAATACATCATACACCCAATCTGGCAGTGTAAGATTTTTCGAAGCTAAGACAATATAAAGTGGTCCCCATCCAACAATAAATACAATAAATAAGAAAAATATATGCTTGAGTAATATTATATCTCGACGATGTAGATGATGATTTGTATCCGTTCTAGGTCCGGTGATTGTTGTAATTTGATGAACACGTCGACTAGATGATCGAACAGAAATAAGAATAATTGTATTAAAAATGATGTTAAATATCACAGGAATGACGACCGTTATGATTAAAAAATACAGAAAAATCCATCTGAATAATTCTGTGCCATCGATACATTCCTACAAATAATAATTAGAGAAAAAAGTAAATTTCTTTTGTTTTATTGGTTTTTACCTTTAAGAAATACAAAAATATTGGTATTGTCATAAATAAAGTAAACATCCATTGTACCAATACTGATAAAAACGCCCAAGTGTTGCTTTTAAAAAATCGTTTCATTGGAAAACATATTGTAAAACATCGATTAATAGTAACAGCAACTAGAGAATAAACTAATACACAAATTACAAATTGTCCGGCAAATGGCATGAATGCGCACAAGACAGAAGTTTGATAAAATATATTTAAACCAAATGCATCGGATATTTTGTGTAAAATCCAGTATAGAATACATAAGATACAGTTGAAACAAAAATTTGCTGTCAAAATGTTATTTGTAGTATGAAAACGTTTGATGAAAATAATTGTTAGAAGATAAAGTAATGGCAATGGCATGATAAAAATGAAAATACTAAGTTGTATGGTAAAAGTAACAAATAGTACATCTACCATATTTGAATTGATTTTGGAATAAATTGTAGACACAAATGAATAACGTATATGAAAGAAAGGTTTTTTTCTTCTATGCTTTTGTATATTATAGTTCAATGGAATAGAATTTCATCATGTTTTACGCACTTGTGAACCTAATATAGAGGATAGATTGATAAAAGTATTTTTATTCTCGTTTGTCTGAATATGTCATAGTTATGAAGGTTTTAATGAGAGATATATGCATCAACAGAACGATGCATTTTATGTATTTCTTTTTTTTCAAGAATCACATCAGTCTACTGCAAACTACTCGATTATACGCTCATAGATGTCAGGAGAAAACATCAAGCGACAAATCGATATTATGCTTTCCTGGGAATTACATGATATAACAGATTTAACATCTATTCAAAATAAATAACATGTGACACTTACATATATATCACGTAGAAATGTGGAAATCTGATTGATTGATGATACTTCTTTCCAGTGCTATAGATTATTAGATACGTCGTGATGCTAAAAGTATTTGACAAATGAGGATGTGAATAGGAGCACGTATCCAGATGAAAGAGATCCTCAGCTACTCGATATTCATAACTTCCTACAGATGAAATAAATACGAATAAATTAAAATACATTAGCAGGTGAGCGCAAACACTATGATTAGAAACGATAGAATTATTCAAGTTCTATTTGGAACCATGTATGATCAGAATTGAAACGTATATCTAAGGGAATTTGTTTGGAGAAAGTTAGTTTTATAGTAAGATATAATCTGCAACTATTATTTCATGTTTTATTTTAGGATACTTAAAATTCATTAATACACATACAACATCTAATAGTATCGGATTCAATATTGTCATTTTTTTATAACATAATAGCAACAAGTATTCCTCCACCAATGATGAATGCTGTTGCTATAATTTTACCAATGACAAGAATGACCTCCTATAATTTTGAGGATATCTTAGCTCCTTATCGAGATAACTCCTTCTGTAATTTTCTACTGCTTTATTAACGGCAGAGTTATTCTTAATATTAGAATTACTTTCGATTGCGTGAAGTAAACAATTTGTACCTTATTGTGTTTGTTGAATTGATCGAGAATAGCTAGTCATTGTTCTATCAAGAAGACCACGACCATGATCAATTGCTTCGGGTGAAGTTGATTGAACTCCATTATTATTTACAGCAATTCCTGATAATGATACTATAAATAAAAGAAACCGTTTTTAACCCTTCGTTTGTGTCCTCTTTTTGGAACTTCATCTGTGTCGTGGGGTCCACGTGGACCCATAGTCTAGTTTTCTTGTTTATAAAGCTATAGATGGGTTTTCTTCATGACACTAAACACCAACATTAATCGAGAGATTACATCAAAGAAAAACTCTAAAACATCAAATAAGAAAAGAACACTGGATAAAGCACTGTCAAATGGGCCCGCTTGAACCCCAGGATACAAACGAAGGGTTAATTGACTTACAAGGACATTGAAAACTACAATTAGTGATTTCAGTTTTTAGCTCAACTATGGTAAAAAATCGTTCTCTTTCATTTTAATTTCATAGGTTTGCTTTTCGATTTCATATTACATGTTCATCTGAGATGTAATTCTAGTTGAAATCAACTCTCAGATATGTGACAGCACAATCCCATATTTTTATTCATCATCACCAATATAACAATCACCCTGTTTGCTACTATATTTTCAATGATGATTATAAGGCACTTGTCCGTCAATATCCAATAATATTAAGTAAAAACGAATGAGACGACGGTAATAATTCCAATAGAGACAACAACAGCGAGTCAGTTCAATTTTATTTATAGCAGAGTATTTGAAACGCCATGTATTAGCAGTAAAAATGGAACGAATGGGAATAAAATGTTACATTAGATGCTGATAAAAAATGAACAATGAGATCAACTCAATCATTTCTATTTTCTTCGTTTTATTTCCGTTGATCATGAGCAATCTGTTTACGCTTCCGATGCAGTCAATGATTGTGTTATGAAGTGAAAAAACTATGCTTGTAAAGGTGTGATCGTTATTGGTGGTAATGAGAATGAGGCAAACTAATTGAATCACGTCACCACTTTTTTATTTGATTTAGGAGAAAATATTTACGCTAGTGATTGTTTGAATAATCGAATCCAAAAAATTTGTTCGTTTCTCATACTTTCAATTTCATAACTGAAATAGTCAGAATAAGAGCGAGGAGAACACATTCATCCAAATGTTTCGGATGAATTATAACATATTGAACTTTTATTACCGTTGTTGATTTGTTTTTGCCTTATTATTTTTAAAAGAAAATTGAATCATGCCCTCTCCCTTCGTTAATAGGACAGAATATTATTATTACTCATGTTGTCAACATGTGACCATAATCGTTTTATTTGTCAACCTTGATTTCTCGTTCTCTCACGCTTTGTTGCTTCTTCCCACACTTCAATATTCTCGTGCATATCTATAAAGACGTACTTTCTTCTATGCGCATCTAGTTTTTTTAGTAAGGCAAAATGAATAAGAAATAGTAAGCCCTCTGTTGATGTCATCCAATTCATTTCCATTTCTACTATTTTTTTTTGGTTTTAATATGACACCGGCACGAATCCATTTTTCACGGTTTAACACACACGAAAAATATCATATCGAATATATACATACCACTTTTCTTCTTTACTCTCATTAAGTGATTGAGGTAAAAACATATCAACATGGACGAAAACAAATATAAATCATCCTACGATGACGCACGAAAGCAGACAAAAACTGCATTGGATGCATGGAAGAAACGCAACACTCAATCGACTTCGTCATCATCGTCTCTCTTCGTTGATGATCAAGTAAATAAACGTGCATTTCTTAACGAGAAATTAGCAGACAAATTGAATGAAGTTCTGGAATCTTGGCACAACAATCATTCATTAGATACAACCCAAAAAGATACATTTCAACAATGTAGCGAATATCTGCTCGAATACACAAAAAATGACAGTGAAGCTACACAATGGCTGAATCAACAGGCGAAATTAACCGATCTAGCGAGAAAATGTGCGGATGATATTGCTGCTCAAGGTCATTTTTTGGATATTAAAGGAACAGAAGATCCTAATTTAGAATCGTTTGATAAGCTTATTCAAGCGTTTACTCAGAGTGATTTTGATCCGTTGCTTGATGCTACTCGCCAATGCATTTCCAATCGCACTTACAAAGAAACATTATATAATGTTGGTAAGAACAATTCATCTACTCTGAACTTCACACAAAGATTCTTACTTCTGACTTGTCCGGATTATGTTCTCACATGTGATAACGATAAGTCTCATTCGCGAAAACTTCTTGAAGATATGCTGCCTAATTATACCGAATTGTTCACTCATTTTCTTCCCAATATCGACAAATGGACGGATACAGTTTGTTTATGTCTGCTTTATCCAATCCAATTTATCCTATCTGATACAAGTTCCCTATCAGTAGACGAAAAACAACTCATTCAAGAAGAATTAGTCACTATTCTTGTGAAACAACCATTATCTAAGGATCAGCATGAAGAAGGACGTGTAGCACTTGTTAATACTGCACTTATTGTTTTGCTTGAAATAGTTCGATCAGACCACAAACTTTTGGGTGAATTGAAAAAGAGAACGGCTGATGACAACAAGTTAATAGAAAATCTAAAGCAAATCTCCACCAACAACTCTGACGAGAAGATGCAATTACGTGCCTTCGAATTACTCTCGCTTCTTGTACCAGAAGAATCGATGAAAGCTGATGATACAACAAAGGCTACTGAATTATTTGTGAAAAATTTCAACGAAGCATTGGAAGACAATGAGGATCAAAGGGCAGAAGACCTCATGAAAGGATTGAAAGGTATACAGGTTACTGTTGATATATTTAAACGTTTTATTTCGAATTTTCTTCGACGTAGGCCTGGTGCAAAATGATGAAATAAAACAGCAAGTTGTAGAACAGAACGCTCTACCATCGATTATTCAATATACCAAAGAAACTACGGATAATCCTGCAGCGCTAGAAGTTGCCTATGCACTTGCATTCAATCCAGACGCGAAGACAGCATTTAGTGAGGATCAAGACTTTGTCGATCATGTCGCAAAAATGAAAGAATCCGAAAATAAGGATGTAGCAAAAGCAGCTCACGGAATTATGTGGAAATTAACCGATGAAGAGAAGTTTATGAAAGAAGCCGAGGAAAAGGAATCAAAAGAAGAATCAACGGACGATAGAAAAGAACCTGCAGATGACAAAAAGGAGTCAGCAGACAATAAAAAAGAATCAGAAGACGACAAAAAAGAATCAGAAGACAGTGTAAAGAAACCTGAACAGTATGACATGATGATCTCATACTGTTGGGCACAAAAAGAATTATGTCATCGTATTAACGATCGTTTGGAAAAAGATGGCTACAGTGTTTGGCTAGATAGAGATGAAATGCGCGGTTCAATTATTGAAAGTATGGCAGAAGCAGTTGAAAATTCGAAATGTATATTGTTCTGTATATCGAGCGATTACAAGAGCAGCACCAATTGTCAAGCAGAAGCTGAGTATGCTTACAATCGAAAACGTAAAATGATTCCATTAGTAGTTGAAAAAGACTACAAGCCCGATGGTTGGCTAGGCTTTATGACAGGATCAAAAATATATATTGATTTTGCTGACAAGGAAGATGACGAATTTGATGAAGCCTATAAACTTTTGATCGCTGAAATCAAACGTCAAGAAGCAGATGATAGTGCAGAGAACGAAGAGAAAAAGCCAGCTGACGATTCGTCTACAACAGCGGAAGGTGAACCAGCTTCCGAAGAGAGTCAGCCACCACCTAAACAAACACGAGAATATTTGAGTGCTGGTCCAGTAACAATGTGGACTAACGAGCATGTCAACGAATTTCTTAATGATAAAGAACTCAATCCACTTGTACCGGTGTGTAAATCGATGAATGGACGAGTATTACATGAATTTCATCAAGCATGCCAAACAACACCTAGTGCAATGTATCCTGTGATCAATAAAACTTTAGATGAATCATCAGTACCATTAGATATTTTCTTCAAATTTATCGATGAACTAAAAGAGTATCTGCCTCCACCAAAACCACGGCCAGTGATCCATTTTCGATACTATTTTCTCTATCCACCTTCAACAACAAACACAAAAACAACTTAGCCTTTCATTTATTCATATGATTTTAGCTTAGTAACTACTTAACATGATTACAAAACTCATAGATAGATTACGTAACCAAATAGATTTTGTTTTCTTTTTATTTATTTTAAATCTCACCGAAACTATATAGAAAATACTTCGAAATAAATCAACGTACAATTTAAATTTAAAAAATTGATCAAGCACTACAAATAAAATTCAAATATATCACGGTTTTTTGCTACAGTTGCACATGGATCTTTATAAAAACTTTGGAAAAAAACTTTTTTTTTTATTATGATAATCATCAATTTGTTAATCAGAAGTTGTTATTGTCAAAATCGAGATAATACATGAAATTAAAGCAAATGTAGCACTCACAAGAATAATTAATTGTTAGGGAGATTCGCCATTTGAACCTATGATCTTTTTTATTGAATTAATGATCCGTACACGATAATTATTGCTCATTTTCAATAAACATGATCTCGAATAAAAGAAACAACGCGAATTTCATTCGTTTTATTCTCATCTTAAGTTGTGCTCTGTATGTGACGACTCATAATTATAACTCACCTTTGAACCTGGACTTTTGTTTTTTGCCAAACATATGAGAGTATGGATTCGGAAGCACATCTTTTTACTTTAACTCACACTAATAATCTTCGTTTTTTTCCATCTGGCCAATAAATGATTCGGTATAGTGTGGTATTTTTTTAGACTGATATTTATATGGTGTGATTCTGTACGCTCCGAGAACTATATAAAGGACGAGAAATGTGCAGCAGGATGTGCTCTGCTTACAGGCAATAAAATCATTCACATCGGCTTTCATTCTCATGTACATCTGCGTACGGTAAAATCGTCACTCTGTATCACTCATCATGTTGAATAATTACTTAGGTATTTCATTATAAAAGTCTCGTTATTGCTGTTTTGTGATAATTTATATTTAGTTTCTCTTCTGTTTATGATTTTCACCGAATCACGAGTATCTCATCGTTCTATAAAGCCATTTGCGTATGCTAGTCCATGTGAAATAAAGTGTATCAACGACCTATCCAAGGAGTTAACTCTGAAGGAAAAAGTGGTAAGAGATTTTTAATTGAGCCACGATTAAAAAGTAAAAAATACCTTTTTTTATTTAGAACATTTGCGAAAAACGTTGCGCCGGAGTTACTTTTCGGCCAGTGACCTATCATAATTAAGTCGAATCTACAAAGAAATACTAATTTAACTTCAATATTTTCACTATTATTTAAATAATTTTTTCCTCTTTTTAAAATTAAATATTTAAATTTTTCACTAAATAGTTCAATAAGCAGCACAAAATGGATCATTCTTTTATTTAAATTGAACCATTAAAATTTTTAAATAAATCAATTCAAATGCTAATCAGTCAATCTATTCTGCACTCAACTTCAAAAAGAAACGAATAATCTTCTTATATTGAAATACTTATAGAGATTTTCGTCGGGCTTATTTCATCAAATCTGCGAAAGTGATATTGTAGTAACCTCGAACTTCTTCTGTAGAAATTCTCGAATAATATTTTATAACTTACTAGAGAACTCACTTTTTGAGTACACTAAAAAGAGAACATATATTCCCTCGACTGAAAGGAGGGTCATATAAAAAAAAAGTTTGTTTGTCTGTGTCAGGGTCAAAGGTCAAAAAAACATTTTTTTTGAAAATGCTCAAAACTTCATAAAACATCATTTCCGAGGAGTATTGAGACTGGATCTTGATGGTTGGGGGTGAGGTGAGGGTCGGGGGCCAAGGGTCAAAGGTCAAAAAGACATTTTTGCGAAAACGCTCAAACCTCAATAAAGGATCGTTTGGGATGAGCCTTGGGGCTGGATGTTGATGGTGGAGTAAAGGACGTGATGAGAAGAACTGTGCCGGCGACGTCAAAGGTAGAAAACACTCCCCCCTTTTCCGAAATGCTTTAATTTTAAAGAAAAATCGTTTGAAATGGGTTCAACCATTGACCGAACAACGCTTGTATATCCGAGAGATATGCCGTACTGCCTTAGCTCGAAATTTACTAAATCTCTAATTTGACTATACCAATAGTGTATTGAGGAGTGGTACGAGGACGAATTAGATGTTCTTTCGTGCGAAGGGAGAATCGTATGAGGAAAGATCGCTTGAATGGTGTGTGTTTGCATCATGATTCAAGACCAATATTAACAGAAACTTCACGAATAATGTGGGGAAGATAGCTGAGACTGATCGGTAGCTATCGTAGATTACAAAACTGACCAATCAGGTATCACGCAATGTAAGACTGAGAAATTAGGTATGTGTCTAGGATGCATGAATCAGGCATTGAATATCTTAGATGCTTTTGTCGTATGACCCTATAGATGAGAATCAGGGTGGATTTCCTCTTATAACGTCTAGTAAACAAAAGACAAGCTCCAGCTGAAAGCTTTCTTGGTATAGATTTAGTTGAAGAAGTTAAATTGTGTGTGAAGTGTCGGAGAGGAAGGCGAGTGCCATCTGAGGACGTGTATATGCTATAAACAATATCGAGCAGTCGGGAGTGGCGGACCGAAGGGACGCCGATGTCCGACTGCGAGATCAGAGCATTGATACATCTTTTGAAAGGGTCTTATGACAAGAGTCGAATTGAAAGTGAATCAGTCGAGGGCGTAGCGAGTCGGCCTCGGCGAGCGTTACTTGTACTTAATACACATCGTTAGTTTTCTTAAATATAGTGTTCTACGAAACGTATATTCTTCTATCGCTTCGGCTTTGTGAAATTCTCCGATGTACAACGAATTGTTCATATTCATATGATGGTTCGACTTCATGCATTTATCCTGAGACATGTAATAAAATCATTTCAGCTGGCCACTGTGGAGCTATGTTTGCATTTATGTTTGGTGCCCAAGACTACTTTTTTTCACTAATGAGTTCGGTAAGAAGTACAGTTTTTGTATGAAACAATCAACGTTGTGGTCTATTACAGATAAGTAGTCAACCGAGAAAAGTATGGTTTTCACACCACGTAGATATCGAATGTAAAGATAAGAATGATTGTGCACGAGATTCAGCCATTCAAATTTCAAGTGAATTGTCATAACGACGATATGATTCTCCAAAAATCGTCGATTGAGCTGTAATGATTTGAATGAAAAACAACGATTATGTGTGGTATCACCAATTCATGGATTTTGTCTTTTAGAAAATCAAATCAAATCGTATAAAATAACACGATCGTGTCAAGTTGCTTCAGAACAACCGAAAATATCAATTCGATTGCACCAGGATTAAAGAGTTGCAGGTATCGTGTCCTTGAAGAAAAATGCACTAGCATTCCTAGTTTTCCGGATATGTCCCTATATCGAACAATTATTTACATCAAACGGAGTAATCTATGTTTGTTTCTCTATTTATTATTACTTAGAATTTGTTCAAAAAAGTGAAGTTTTATGTTGAGACAAAATACTTACAATATTTCAGAATACAAAGCAAATGTTTCTTGAGCGCAAAAACACACACGAAAGAGTTCATTAACCAGAATTGACAGGTGGAGCAGCACATATAGAAAAAGTCGCATTCCAATTCGTACCATTTAGGCATAGACACGTCCCTGCAAATGTTCCATTGCCATAACTACTCGAATGATTACATATTAAACCTGCTCCAGCAGCTGATAAACATGTTGATGTATTCACTGGATTGAGCGTCCAATCGATACAAGGATCACCGTGAAGTACTCGATCAATACAAGTTATTCCATTCTAAAAATCTCCAACAAAATCACAATTTGACTGAAATGTTTCTTTTACCCAATATTTCGTTGTCGCACATTCACATGTAGCAACAGATACTATCGAACTTGAACCAAATGGACACGAAACTAAATTGTAATCTGCACATTGATATGTGGCATTACAAGCAGCACTTGCATTGCCACCCCAAGATGGAATACCTTTGTCACGACAATATGTTCCATTCCACCATTGAATACTCGTACAATTACTAAATAATCAACACAATAACGTCTAAGAAACAAACACATTGTCACAACATACCACCAACCAGATTTTGTTTGATTAGAAACACTATCATTTATACATTGTAAATTCTCAAGTTTTGAACATTCTTGTGTGGAACAATTTGACACTAATGTACAAGGTTGATGACGCTAAAAAGAACATATTGAATAGAAATTCTAATGAGATGAGGTACTTACATGTTTAGCAGTTAGACATGTCGCCGTACACGGTTCCCAATATGATGAAATATTACAAAGACATGCCATCAATCCTGTGGGAGTTGTTGTACAAATCAAATTAACTGGTGAAAAATCTCGACATTCGTATGTATTTGCACATGCAACTGAATGATTTCGTTTATCTTGACAAACATTTCCATCCCAATACATGTCATAATTACATAAACATGTGCCATTAGAACATTTCAAATATCGATAATCTTGACATTCCATATCACCAAAACATGTTGATTGACCAAATCCCAGTTTCAAAATACATGTTTTTGAACGATTAGTCACATATAATGAATCCCATACATAACTTATATTGTAACAATCACATTTTTGAAAGAGAGCACCACCTGTACCTTGACAAAATAAACCTCGATTGTCATCACAAACATACGATGATGTACAACTGGTATTGAACAATTGTTTTTGAATACAAGTGTAATTCCAAAAATGATTTTTATCACAATCACATGTGCCGATGGATTGAGAATAATTACTACAAAATAAACCATCTCCCGAACTACATTCGACAGTTGTTGTACATTTTCCACCAATGGATAACTTATTTGCACATGTTGAACCGTCCCAAAAGGTAAAACTTGAATTACATAAACATTGACCGACTGTCGATGATCCCCAAATCGTATAATCACAATAGAGACCTTGTGATGTACTGCATACAATAACTGATGTACAATTATCCAGATAAGTTGCTGCTGGTTTGCAATAACCTGCGATACCAGGTGAAACAATAGTTGACGGATCGAAATTTGTACCCAATGGACATGAACAGAGATTGTTTGTACATACTAAATTCTTTCGATAATCACAATTTGAAGTTGCTGCACATGATTTATTGAATGTACGTAATGGTTCACAATAGCCATTACCTAATGAAGGTGTACCATTGTAAAACTGTGTTGATCCACATTGACAAACACCTGAAATATGAAATCATGTGAAGATATCTGAAACGAAGAAAATCTTTTCTCACCATATTCACTTCCATATGGATTGGCATACCTAGCACATATGAGACCTTGACCCATTGGTGCAGAATAATCACACCAACTATCATCATATGGATAACAATATTGATTCACTGTTCGTTTATATTCACATGTACCAGAACGTTGGCTATTTCCATTCCAAAACATTGATGCATTGCATTGACATATGTTTCCCAATGATGTATCACAATATAAATATCGTGTCGTATCACAACCTTCGCCATTCGGACATGATTCATTGTACCGTGCTTCATCTCTGCACTAAAATGCAATTCGATATCGATTTTTCATTGAAGTCCTTCGTTCAAATGATTACCACAACTCCGTTCCATCTCAATGCAGCTTTACATTGACATTGAAGTTGAACATCGCCGTTACTACAAATTCATCATACAAACATTTTGGTATTTCTTTCTTCAGTTACCTGAGCGTGACATTGAAACATTGAAGCCTTGCTAAAATGTCACATTCTGAGTCATTGACACACGTTCGATTGATCATTCGTCGTCGTTCACATGTCAAATACGTTTCACTCCAAAAATGTGAATACGCACATCCACAGCGATAATTGTTACACATCAGACCAAGATCTTGTCGACAATCACTGTTCACTTTACATGGTCCTCCGTTTCCTGACTTTTGCAAAGTGACAATTGTCGCAAAGATCATAAATGCAGCAATGGCGAGAATACCCAATGTAACTAATGTTAACAATAGCCATCGAGGGATAAGCAAATCTCGTTTCCAACATGATATTGGTCTTTCCTTGTGAATGACGTCATACTCAGTAACTAAAACATTGGCCGCATTGATATTTTTGATGATATGGCTCTGAATAATTGTATTTGGATCCTAAATGAGATCAGAAACAGTTATTTGATATCAAACGAACGATGATTGAAGAGAAACCTTTTGTTCAATTGGTTTTACCGCTTTTCGATTCTTTGCCGAGTACATTGTTGAAATAATTTATGAGTGGATTGTATCTATAAGAGTGCTTAATGGGACGAAAAAAATCGGAAGCTTTTATATTGAGACATTTGTTGAATCAACAGAAGCGTTTTAAAAATAGAAAAACAAGTTTTCGTCTCAAGGTAATTTTAGTACTCGGGAAGAACATCTTAGATACTGTTTGCTTTTTAAAATAAACGAGTCTGTATGACTTCTTGAAAATTTTCTTTTTTCTTTTCAGGTAATATTCTTTTCCTTAATGTATTTATTAATACAAGCGATGTTTTGATAAAATTCAGTAAATATTTCGGTCTGTAAAAGCACTGCTATTTTTCTTCGAGAAACGGATGACAAGACAAACATCATGCGCTTTACTAAATTTACTCGTCCAGAAGCTATAGTTTTATTTTTATTATTTTAGTACATATGAAAGAGAGAGTAGACGTGCCAGAGATCGCGGCGGAATATAAGATTTTAGTGCCGTCTACCGTCTTTATTGGTATTATACCGTATTTTGACAATCGATTATCTGTGTTAAATTCGATGGAGAAACATCGAAACCATGGCTTTGTGACGATGATTTTGGATTAAATTCAAAAATAAATTTCAAACCGTTGATTCGACGAGTAATTCGAGAATTATCTTTCTATTTACAGATCGACATTCCCGCATCTGAAACATAATTTCTTTAAACACAATCAATTCCAACCATCTTTCTGTTTTGTTTCTCCAATTCATCATTTTCTTTGACATATGAGCGCCTTGATGATAAATCCTTCCTAAATATGCTAATAACGCTTTCTGATATCTTTCATTCGACTATAAAGATTCGTCTGGTGACGATGAACACATCCAATCAGCAAAATCATCCTATTTCTTCGTAGTTTTACTCGGACGGGCATTGAAACGATTGTTACCATCTAAATTGGTCTGAAAGATTATTTATTCAGTGTGAAATTTCGATTCTGAGGAAGAAATATAAATGCAAGTTGTACAAGACGTTAACTGTTGGAGGAAACTGTGACTTGAATACTTTGACGGTTTCGATTTGGTGAATTTATATGGTGCGTTGAAGGACTGACTAATTTTGTGTTATATTTTCTGGAATAAATTTAATAGAAACATTTTTCATTCTCAAAATATTCACCATTCTGTTTACAATGAAAAATCATTTCCTTACATAATCACCATTTGAAACTGATAATTGCGATATCTAATATCATTTAAAATTGAAGATCACCAATAAAACAAAACCGATGCGTTTAACTCATTTTGATCATAATTATTTAACGTATAATTTATATTCGTATTCATACTAGAACAACATCAAACGAATTAAATAATACATTCATACGAAGAGACAACTAAAATTATCAAATCTAATCATACTGCTAATCCTACCTTTACAACAAGACTGTTCAAACATTGATCATCACGATCACAATATACAACACTCCATTTACTTCTCCCTATGGTTCGATATTAAACGACTACCTCGACATAAATATCTCAATTGATTCATAGCTCCGTTTGGTAGTTGACCCTTATGAAGTTTAAATTCAATTCAATCAAATCAACATAATTGATCAAATATATAGATCCACGAGTTTAATACTACAGAGATTTTAAGATTGAACATAAATCAATTGATTTTGTTGATCAAGATTTGATATATATATAAGCAAGAAACGATTCGCTGGTGAATGTTATAGGATTTGAACTGTAAAGGAAATTGTTTGGAACGATTCCAGACGAGGTGATTTGTCCAAGAAGAGAATAATCATTGGTTTCTACATTTGATGGTGATATTAATACAATTAGTTCATTATAAAGATCTGGAAGTGCTCATCCGATTAACTCAGTTGATAAAATTTATTCTAAATAAGCATCAATTAGTGATTTTTCTTTTACACTCGTTATAGTCTTTGTGATTTCGTTTTTCTCACGTTCGATATTTCCATTGGAATTCGTCGTAAGCAAAACCAATGACAAGGTTTCACAAACTGTCTGTCAGTTAATCGAGATGTTTTCTTGGAAAAACAACGCATCAGCTCTCTATTGTCCAACAAAAGAAATGCAGATACATGCATACGATGAAATTTATCTTTTTGAAATAAAAATTCATTTAGACAAACAAAATTCTCTTCTATGAAAAATAACATTTTGTTTTTAATTTGAATTACAAAATTCATCATTGTATTTTGTTGCTTGAAGGGATCGATGAAAAATCTTCGATCGATTCATCGTGTGCAGAAAGAGCAAAGTTTTTCCTTTCACAACAAATCCATCGTTTCTCGTGTACTTTTCACTTCAACAATGTTCTTAAGTCAATAGAATTTCGAGCGAATGTGATTTCAAATATCCCCTGTATTCGGATCATTTCAACAATTTTTCATAGTGAATGCATAGAAAGTGTCTAAAAGAAGATGTGCTGACTGTTCGTTACCGCATATTTTCACAGTTGCACAATCACAAAGTTCCACATCGATTCATTCTTGGAAAAAGTAATGGAGGAATGTGCTCTTCTTTATCACATGAATATGCAATGATTTTCTTGAGTGTAATTTCATTGGAAGTGAGATAATCCAATAATTAAAATTTTCTCTTTTTTGATTCACAAAATTTGTCACACGATACCGTTTTTCAACATCGACGTGTTGTCAACGACACTTTTGACAAAGTTTGCAGGGACAAATGATTATGAAGGAAATGTGAGAATGATAGGAAACGTTGATTTACAACCAATAAAATTGAGAAATTTCCCAATATTCGATCGAGTATCGTTGTTCAAACAACTCCCTATGTAATTCATCTTAGACTGTTCGACCGATTAGACGTTTATTTCAATTATTTAGAGGAGACAAAATAAGTGAAAGTAAAATGATTTTTTATTTTGAATAATTGGAAGAGAATCGAGGAATAAATGTTTATAATCCAATGGATGGGCGCTATTTGTTCTAAATATGTCTCTCTTCTCAATTTATTACGAAAAATCTTGTAACTAGTGAATGGCGTTATTGATTCTTCTTTGATTAGTACCCGCTACAGAATGAATTGAAGGAACTATTATGTTTGACCTAAAAGCTTGCCAGATAATATTTTTTAATTGAATAACAGAAAATACGATTATAAAACTCAACACTACCAAAGACACTCCAGTTGTTAATAGTAAAACTCGAAAAGTTAATGGATGTTGTTTACCTGTAATAAACGTCATCATCATAAAGATCATAGCTGGTACGCCTAAGAAAAGTAAAATTCCAACAATTATTAAAATACGTCGAATGGCAATTAAATCACGATTTTGTTGCCTTCGAAGGACAAACATTCGATTCCTTGTTTGTCTTCGAAGGAATAAAGTTATACGAATATATATAGATAACAACAATAGGACAGGTAGGCCATAAATAATGAAAAAAATCCAAAGAAAACCGCGAATTCTTAATATTGGTACATAGCAATAATGATCTTCTGTTAAATAAACATAATCATGCCACATATAAACTGGATATAAAAGAATAAAAGCCAGAATCAATTGAACAGGAGGTACAATGATATATAATGATGAAAACTGTAACCATCGATATTGTGAGTAAACAACACGACATAGACGAAAGAATGCCTAATAGGAACAAAAACAAAAAAAAGTGAATTATTTTTAATAAATGAAAATGACTACCTGGTTAACAAAAGATATGTACAGATTACAAATAAAAGCACTATATGTATATCCTACTAGAATACAACTCAATGAATCGAAATCAATTTGATAAATATCACCTAATATGGATTGTATATTACATGCAACAAGTATTGATGAACAGACAAATGTACATAAATACATATTTATGCAAAGAATAAGTATTGGTCTATCGTTATGTTTGATTTGTTCATGAAATAAATTATAAATAATAATAATTAGTACTATTAAAGATACAAAACAAACAAATATGCATTCAATAGTTGATATGATACTAAATACAAATGCAATTTGTTGAGTTTGAGTAAGATGCATCATTGAATAACGCGTTACTGTGAATTTCTATGAATTTTATAGAGGAGAATGCAGATGAGCTTTTTTTATCAAGGAAAATCTAGGATTAAAATGTGACTGTTTAAAATATTAAGTCTGGAAGAAGATTACAACGTCATCTTTTTTTGTCATGAAGGATTAGAAGAAGAAAGAACTTAGATATTTTTAACTTTCTACTCTTCAAACAACACAACTTTCAAATTATGAAAACTCGTTCGGATATTCTTGATCATATTCCTACACTGTACTATCATACGTTTGGATAGGCATCAATCGAGGTGGAGGTGCTGAAATTTAAAGTTAATTTGTTCTAAATTATATTTTATGTTTTGGGCACAAAAATATAATGAACTTGTTAGAGTTCGCCGAACAGTTCCGAATGGTGGGGAATGATGGCTCAAAACTACCTCTTTCTTATCATCTACGGAGGAATTAATTAGTTGTTCTGACTTCAAGGGAGGAAGATTGACTATAAAGTTGTCAACAGTTAACCGCGAGTGGCCGATCGAAGCAAATAGTGTTAAAGTACGATATATGCGTTGAAGATATATGTCAACACTTGACAAATCTAAAGCTGGACTTCGTTCTTCTAAACGAAATTCGACTTTTATTAATTAATTCGTTTGGCAAGAACTTCGATCAATAAGAAATTTTTGCACCCGATCATTCCAAGTATCTGTAACGTATAAGTTTCCTTCTCGATCAAGAAATACATCTGAAGGATAATGCAATTGATCAGATGCCGAACCCCCACCATTTCCGCCAGCAATCAATGTTCCATTTGTTGCATCTTTTAACCAACGCATAATTCGATGATTTTCTTTATCGGCAACATAAATTGATCCTTGTTTATCAACATGCACACCTGACGGACGATTAAGTTGATCAAGTCGATTATCCAAAGGGCTATATTGGCCAACAATAACGATCGGTTCATCATTTCCTTCAACAGTTTTCAGTATTCGATTAGCTAAAAGTCCTACCGAGTAAATTGATCGGTCTTGATCAATAAATATCAGATTTGTGTGACCTAAATTCTTAGCAACAATTTCTCCGTCAAACTCTTCATTGTTAAAATTCCACTTTGTCACTTGTCCATTGGCATATTCCGAAATATAAATAAATCCTTGATTATCTTGCGCAACCCCAACAGCTTGAATATGATCAACAAGAACTTCGCCATCATCTTCACCTGAATTCCAACGGACAACACGATAGTTTCCTGCATCAGTAATATAAATTGTACCATTCTTATCGACCACAATATCTTCTGGCATATATAATCGAACTTGCTGAGTATCATTTCCATTGTTCTTTAAGCCTGCAACCCATTGGCCAATTGTTGTATTCTGTTGCCACATCATGATTCGATTATTGTCACGATCTGCAACATATATGGTATCATTCTCATCAAGATACAACCCCGATGGTTCATCTAATTGTTCAAGCTTATTTCCGTAACCATGTCCACCAGCAACTGTAATTGCATCTTTCGACCAAGTTGCTGTTGAACAAATTTCCGAATCTAGTTAAATAAATAACTATACGAAAATAGTCCTCTTGAAACAAGATTTACTTGATAAACTAAAAGAAAAGATTTTCTAAATAAGGAAAATCTTTCTAAAAATCTAACCTGACAGAATAAATTAAGAAATAAACAGCAATAATTTGTCTTCGCATAACTACTTTCTATTGTTAACTAAAATGCAAATAATGATTTAAATAGAAATTTTTTTCTCACAATGTCATCATCCATCAGCATTACTTTTCAATTATTTTGATCTTTATCAATATTTATTTAGTCATTCAATTCAATTAATTGAGGCTTTTCTTGAATGTGATTTTTTTATATGAAAAACGACAACGAAAGAAAAGCAAAATATTTGTCAACGAAACTGATTTCATGCATAGAATATGAGTTCTCATTTTGTTTAAACGACTACGACTGAAGCAATCGACATTGTCACTATACTATCGTGATCAATCGTTATGTATACATAATGGAGTTTTACAACGATAGACGATTGAGGGTGGGTGTGGGTGAGGGCGAGTAAAAGTTTTTACGATTGGAATCGATAGAGCTCATCGAGTTCCACTTGGTACAAATGTGATCAGAGTTGGAATACACTCGAGTGCGAATATGTGTCCAAAATGTCGTACATGTGAGTAAACTTGTCGTAATTGTTCTGTATATGGATTTGTTTCCAAAAGTTTCATACTCAATTCTTTTTTCTCGTGATCATAATAATAACTATCACTTTCATAGTTTGAAGTAACAGATATAACTGACTCAGACAAGTAAGAAGTCGTCTTACGGTCGACGCTGACAACTCCTTTAAAGTAAAAGTAGAATTCATTTGATTCAAACAGCGTAAACCTGCCATAGTCAAGACCAAAATATTCTCGTAACCGGACTATATTTCAAGCTGATTGTTGACTTAAAAAATGAGTATACTACTAGAATCCCTCAGCATGACCGTCTGTTTGTCAGTTGATCCGATGGAAGAATCTCATTGAGCTGAAATTCTCTAGACAGTATCATCTCATCAATATCTCAGGCGCGTTCGAAAATGAGCCCGATTGGTGAAATTTTCTCGGATTCTTATACATAAAGTTGCATGATTGTACGCTTGCTCATTATGTGTCCACTTCTCGTACTAATTATAGCTACATATCTTTCCATGTTGATTCTGTAAGCCTAGAAAGATATGGAAAGACGGCCGACTGACCATGGCGAGGGTAGACATGGGTGAAATTCTCGATAGAAAACGACAACAAAGCATTCAATAACATGCATGATAACTTTCACCTAAGAAAATATCACTACGCGGCGAGGAGCCAAATGATAAGAATCTGTTGAGGGATGTGGATGTATTGCGTCCAAATCATGGTTCGTAGTCGTTGTTATGTAGACATTTTCTGCCAAATTATTATTGGTTAAAATGCAAGATCTTAAGCCATTATGCTGGCAAAAAATATGAAAAACGGATTTTTAGAGCAATATCTGCTGGCAACTCATTTTACCTAGATTTCGACGCATCCTCTTTATCCTATTGTAGTTTATGATTACATACGTGATGGAAAACTTCGGAATAAGATGTGAAAATACATGTTGGTAGTACGTCATCTCCACGCTGAATTACATTGAAAGTGACTTGAAAACTAGTATGCATCGACCCTGACGATCGCTCAAGGTGAGACAAATATGTTATCGGTCGATGATCAATTTCGGCTCGAACAAACAATAGATTTCGATAAAGAGAAGAGAAAAGCGCACTTTGTAAATATACATTTGCACATGTTTCACCTGTATTCACGACGTTCTTCCACGGGCACTTACACGACGAACAGCAGTTTCACGACAACGACCATAACCGATGAAGGCGAAATAGATGTATTATCTTTGTATTCAATCAGTTTTCAAATTGATATTACAGAACAAGACGATAATTCATATTACGATGACTATAATGGCGTGAATTCTGACGTCAACGAGATAGAGAATGATGAAGAAGAATCTTCGACATGGAAAATCATTCTGATTTGGTTTTTGAACTATTTAAAGAAATTTGCTAGTGGGCATGAGATGCGACCGAAACGAATTGCCTGGCATGAATATATTTGGAGTTTTGTTGGCTCGTTTCTTGGCATTCTCATCGTTGCTCTGATGCATTATCGCCTTCTCATACCGTAAGTTTACGTCTGAATGTCCTTAAACGACAAGAAATCTTTCATCTAGGGAAGTATTCAAGATCTTCTCCGAATTATTCTTGCTAGTTCTTGTTTCTTTCCATTTAGTCACAACTTGATGTTTCTGATTGGATCGTTTGGTGCATCGGCTGTGCTCATCTACGGTGCGCCGCAATCACCTCTTGCACAACCGCGAAACGTCATTGGTGGTCATTTTTTCTCGGCCGTAGTTGGCTGTACATGTCGTGTAGCCTTTGATCGTTTTGAACATTCAGTCACAGTTGCTCTTGCCGTCGCAATAAGTATCGTCGTAATGCAATTTACCGAAACGGTCCATCCGCCAGGTGGTGCCACGGCACTGATTGCCGTCACAACTCAACCAGAATTGCCATGGGCAAATTTCCTCTATATATTCATGCCAATTCTGACAGGTGCCGTAGTTATGTTAATTGTTGCGCTTCTGGTCAATAATCTTTCGAACTACCGGACGTATCCATCTTGGTGGTGGTGAACTTAACCATCGTTAACATATGACAATCTTTTTTGATAGTTTTTGGATATTTTTATTCACAGCTTTGTCTCGAATAGTGAAGATTTTACTAAATATTTAAGCTTTTGGCTTCGGGCGACCCATATATGTGTCCTGAGATCTTATGCACTGAATAACTTGAAAAAACAAGTAACGCTCGTCTTTAGACTCGCTCAGCTCTTTCTCGTAGAAGTATTGACTTCAGATGTCATATTTTTCATGCATTATGGTGTATATAAGTTTTTTTTTCAGCATAGGTTAGATATTTATACTAAATGTTAAATAGAGTACTAGATATTTTGAAGAAATATCAATACAGTTAGGAATAAAGTAATTTCAAATTATGTTACGCTTTATATGCTTGCAATAAAACTAGACTCTTAGCAAAGCATCGCTTTACACATGTTCAAAAAATGAAAGAGGTACACTCTAGTTTTGTCTTTTTGCCAAGTTCATGTATACGTTTCAGTTCAGTGTCTTGCGCAAAAGAAAGTTGAACTTGTAGAACTTTCACATTGAAGGATAACTGTATCATCCCTTTTCTTCACTTTACTGAGTGGTACATATATCGATGCTACTTGCCGATTTTCAAGAGCGCACACAGCGGTTTTCGTATGTAGATCGTATTGCAGGAAAATACTTCGCTTTTTATCTTTAAATCACTAGAATCCTCCTGATCATCGTCTATAAGCTCTCAAAAAATCGATTTTCGATGTTTTTTTTTTTTTACTCTGCGAACATACAAGCAACCAAAAATTTTATGTTTCTAAGATTCTTCTCTACGAGAAAGAGAATTAATCATTTCAGAACAGGTTTTTTAAGCAAAAATTACAATTTTTCTACTTTTCCGAAATGATTTATTTTTGTCAGATTTATCAAAATGTGAACATCCGAAGGTTTTCAAAGCGTGATATTCTTTGAGACAGTTAGAATTACCATCGTCAGAACAATCCGTGAGCTGTGTATAAGAAGATAGCAAGACGAGAAAATTCATGACATTAGATGGACGAAAGAGTGTCAAAAACAGAGGAAAATTTCATTATAGATGCATATCTGGCAGATTGGAAAATATATGACACATGAATCTGAATAAAAGGAAAGAAGATGCCGCTCATAACACCGACGTGTAGAAAGGGTGAGGGTGTGATTATTTTTTTGAACTTTTTATATTAAACTACTGTAGTTAAAATGTTTAAAATAAAAAAGAACTATACAATATTTCCATGTGTGTATATGTGTAGATATGTCAATGTTCATTAAATAATTGCATTCAAAAACATAATGAAATCTTCTCTTTTCTTTGAAGTTATTGATGTTGTATTTTACTTGATGTCAGGAACATTTGGTTTGCTTCGGATTTGTGACGTGATAGGTCGTATTCGATTAAAAGTTTGATAATTGAAAATTCTGATTATTTTCAATTTTAGTTCTGGTATTGATAATAAATAAACAAAAGGCAAAAGGAATGGAATAAAAACTAGGAAAAAATAGAACGTTCCAGCTAATCCACCTATGAAAGGTGTCCAAGCTACAATAGATAATATAAGAGTAATCATATATGGTATACTGAATATAAGATAAAGTGATACAATCGAAATAAGTTGCAATATCATCATTCGATATTTATGCCAATCTACTGATTGTCGAAGACGACGTTTTGATCGATAAACTCGAAATAAAAGTGCACAATTACACAAGAATGTGCATATTGGCGGAAATATTGTATGAAAACATGCTTCCCACATACCGAAATATGGATCACCTAAATAACAACTATAAAAACATGTATTCGTATCAATATCTACTAAATCCACACAAAAATAGATGAAAACAACATAAATATAAAATGATATTACGTAAATAATGATAAGAATTGGTGGAATGTAATGAAAACAAAGATTTTTCCATTTAACATTAAATATAGCAGCATGAAAAATAAGAAGATGTCGTTCAAATGATGCCCATGCAATGAAAAAAGCAATTAAATAGAAAAAAGTATTGTCGATAAAGGACCAAAACTTGCATACGAAATTCGTTACTTGGATAGTTGGCTTAGGTCGGTATAAATCGATATAAAAAGGAATATCGACAGAAACCATAAGAAAAGAACTGCATAAGATGTAAAAAACAATATAATTATTTGATGCAGAACGAATAGTTTTGTTGAAAAGGAATAAACCAAAAGCCATAAGATGCATTGGAATGGATAGAATATCAAATGTTAAAAATATTATGAATATACTATTATTTGAAAGAAAATTGTATAAATTAGTCGAATCATCTCCAATAGTAATATTTATATGATTAGATATATTCGTGTTCATTGTATATGTAAGAAACTAGATAGAATATGGTGACGACGAGATCTGCTAAAATGCAAGAAATGAACGATAGAATCAGATAAAGTAATCTTATAGATGATAAATAATATATTAGAATACGCGATGATTTAATGAATACATAAATTCATCACATATGAATAAACTTTTTCATGAAAAAAAATATAAAAAATCTTTCTGTTAAAAATACTTATTTTAAAAGACAGACAGTGATTTTATACGTGAATTAGTGAAACGAAGGAAAGATACAATTAGGATAAACGTCAAACTATTTATTATATATGAAATCAGGTTTTCATATATATCAATGGAAAATATGCACATGCCCCAGTGATCACGAAGTACGCATTCTGTTTATTCTTCAGGTCAAAGTGACACAGAGTGTTAATGGAAATGAAATTAAGAATAAAGATTAATATCAACGTCCATCCATCCTACATTCTTGATAGTTAGAAATTGTACATCTTTTATATTTACTCTGCTTTTTATTGCTATAAGTATTACATGTATGGACTCCATAAGAATAATATCATGGAAACTATCGTACTCTATTAAGAAAAGAAAACAAAAATTTCTTCAAATTAGTTGAATTTCACTGAAACTGACGAACTATGACTCTTGTTGTGTTCATAAGCAATGGCTCAGCACACGTGATTTTTATTAACCCTAGTCCGCCCAACATGGGTCATTTTTGACCCAAACGCAAAAATTTGAAAATGCACTGTAATATTTTGCTAATTCCGAGTTGAAGTGATTATTTATCATCTATTATGAACAGATAACTGTTCAGTAGTCTAAAATGGAAACTCATTTCTTCTATTACATCCCATTACAAGCCTTCAATGCAAGAAAATACAATTTCATCCCTATTTAACATAAAACTAGATTAAGAAACAAATTCAGTTTTCAGTTAAAATTTAAAAGTTATATATACCATTTTAATTGTATACTTAACTACAATCTATTCAGAAGTATATAATGATACATGATTCATCTCGGATAAGTCATACGATTAACTTCGGGATCGAAGATATTCGTTCATCATGTGGTACTTCTACCTTTCTTTTTTTTAGATTAAGATTTCTTTTTATATTTTAAAAACGGTCATAAACAATCGGATTGAAGAAGATAGCGAAGTTGACAATTCTAATGACGAACAAAGTGGTTCAGAAACAGAAAATAACGAAAGTCAAACGTCAGACATTGATGATGAAATTGATTTAGAAGATGTTAAATTAATTGAAAATTCTACACGAAAAAGCTTATATACTTCTAACTCTGGAATGGTCTGGTCTTCAATTCCACCTGCTTCAACAAAAATAAATTCTCTCAATGATAACATCGAGAAATCTGGGCCGACCGAACTTGCTGAACATATAGCATCTATCGAAGATGCATTTATTTGTCTTATGTCGGAAAAAATCATGGAGAAAATTTTGATTTACTGAAATATGGAATGTGATCGAAACACCGCATCAGATAAAAAAGAAGAAATAACAATGATAGAATTGAAAGCTTGCATTGGAATATTATTGCTTGCTGGTTTATTAGGAAGATCAAAGAGAGATTTACGATCCTTACGGAGAACAAGTCCTTTAAAACCTCCAATATTCAAAGCAACTATGTCAAAAAACTCGTTTTGACAAAATTATTTCACGTCTGAGATTTGATGATAAAACAACAAGAGAAAAGAAAAAGCAAACGGATAAATTTGCAGCAATTCGTGAAATTTGTTCAGATTTTCAAGATAATTTAAAAACATGTTATATACCAGGACTTAATCTTACTATCGACGAACAATTACTAGGATTTCGTGGAAGATGTCCATTTCGTCAATTTATTTCGAAGAAACCTGACAAATACGGATTAAAGTTCTGGCTATGTGTTAATGTAGAGGCATATTTTGTATTGAATGCATTTCCTTATATTGGACGACAGCCAGGTCAAGAAAAACAAAAACATGTAGGTGAAAATGTAGTTTTAGAATTGCTCAAGCCATTTTATGGTTCAAACAGAAAGGTTACAATGGATAATTCTTTTACGAGCGTTCCGTTGGCAAAAAATTTTCAAACAAAGAATCTTACTCTTATAGGAGCATTACGAAAAAACAAATCAGAAATGCTTATGGAATTTTTATCTGATAAAACTCGTGAAGTTGGTTCTTCGCTTTTTGGCTTTGATGCTAATTTAACTTTAGTTTCCTTTGTACCAAAAAAGAACAAAGCTGTATTATTACTTTCTTCTAAACATCATGATAATCACGTGGACAAAAAGACTGGAAAACCAATTATTGTTTTGGATTATAACAAAACCAAGGGAGCCGTTGATACTGTTGATCAAATGTGTCACAAATATACAGTAAAAAGTATTTTTTATATTTTATCTTTCTATTCTATTATTTGTAGGTAAAACTAGGTACAAAGCGATGGCCACTTTGTATTTTTATGGTGTGATAGATATGGCGGCTCTGAATGCTTTTATCGTATGGAAGGCAAAAAACCAGAATGGAATCGGAACAAGAGATACCAACGTCGATTATTCATAGAAGAACTCGGACTTAGTCTTGTAACTCCTCTATTGGACTTTCGTTCTAAAACTTCAACATTTCTACATAAAGATATTCAAAATGCTTTAGCTATTGTTGGGCATCCTGTAACGAAAAGAAATTCACAAGAATCAAATGAAGATCCTTCACAAAAAAAAACGAAAGCGGTGTTCAATATGTGAAACATCTAAAGACAGAAAAACTTCAACTAAATGTTATAAGTGTTCTGCATTTGTTTGTAACGAACATTGCATAAATCAGTTTTTTTGTATTAATTGTTCGAAATAAAAGACTAATATCTCTCCGTACTGTTTTTAATCATATTGAACATTGCACTAGCATCCTTTTGACAGGATAATAATATTAGAATAGAGAAAATAATTTTATAGAAGCATATGTTGCTATTATAGTGCGTAAAAAAGCACGGGCGTACTAGGGTTAAAGGTGTCGTTCGAATACATTCCCATCCGAAAACTGAGCTTCAGTGGAAAGCTTCTCAAAAAGCACTGAAACTCTCAACTTATATTTCGAAGCGAACCATTGTCGCAGTTCTTGTCAGGAGGAATTAGCCTTCGGCGTGGTTCGGAACATGTGTAACGCGGCTAGAAGGTATTGCAGAAGCTTCTCTTACAATGTTGTAGCTGTTACAATCTGATAGATATCTGATCGTCATGCACACTTAGTTAGAAATTTCTGTGGACAAGAAAAATTACATTTTGGCGAGGTCAATGATTTATACAACGACTGGCCATTCTCCGCCCAAGAAAGACATTAAGAGAAACTGGTATATACTTTTGTTCGCCATCCCCCAAGGAACAAAATGATATAAGGTCATAGAGCTTACGACGAATCTATCTCAAGTTGAAGGCTTTGCGGCGAAGTGAAACCAGCCACTGAATCGATCGAGGATTTTCTCTTTCACCAGGAAATCGCGAGAGAAAAATTTCACCCCGTCGATCTGAAAACTATCCCATTCGACGTAGGCTGAAAAACTGCGTCGCATGGACGCATTTTGCCCCTCCGAAAAAAGTCTAAACTAGTCGCGAAAAGTCGATTTTTCCATGAGAAACGAGCTGGTTTTTGGTTAAAAACGAGTGAAGTAGCCAGTGTTGCCAGGATCATTTCTCAACAAGAACAGCTTGGAAAAAAGATCAGAATAGGGAGTTTTGTAGAGCTTGATGAGCCCTATCCAATTACACAAACAAACCAATAAAAAATATTTACTTGATTTTTGAATTGGGGAACCTTACATACCGTTATTATAATTACTAGTTATAGCTAAAAGTTTTTCTTTTCTCTCTACTTCATAGAAGGAAAAAAATATTCTGTTAGAAGATAGTGACGTCAATTGAACTAATGTTTTTTACTGTATAATTAAAACAAACATCTGTCTACAAGCTTGACAATAACAATTCAATTTGGATTCAATCGATTCATTGATTTACTTTAAGTGAGAAACAAAATTAGAGATTGAGAGTTTTTAGATAAAATAAAGTTTAGAAATCGAATTTTGTGTTATAATGGCATCAAAATATTCCTGATCGTTACCTACAATAATATTCTTTTTACCATCACGTAATCCTCACCCAATATAATGCATTATTTAAGGAAACGAGGAAAATAACAAAGGTCCATACTCATCAACCAAAAAAACGTAAACGATGCACACCCCTAAAATTTGTAGCAATAGCGTTGACAGAAGTGGGATAGAAGTTGAGATAAGGAAAAAAATATATATAATTCGATCATATATTGGTAATTTATCATAATTTTCTTTCAATTCCAAAATAGCCAAAACAATTATTAAAATGCCAAGCAGCATCGAACCAAGCCCTGAGAATGCATAATTTCCATACATCCAGTACTCCTTTATTCTACTTTCGCCTACCAAAGCAAGAGTAATATTTGGGCGTATCGACGCAGATTCGGTGTCTTTCTTTAATTCAGTTATCGACTTCTTATCGAATGGTTTTTCAACTGGTTTAACTTCCAATTTTAAATTTAATTTAATACCAGCCATAAAAATTGAGAAAATCATACTAATTTCAAAAAGTGTTTGACGGAAACGAGATTCATGACTGAGAAATAATGTTAATAGAGAATAAAAGTTTACACCAACGATAAAAAACAATCGAAGGATAAACTTGCTTAATTTATCAGCAATAGCCTTCTTCGTAGATTCTGTTTCAATCAAGAATAATGTGATTATATGACAAAATAATTCAATTGCAAAGGAAGTCAAAGCGACAGCGATGACTCCAGCTGTTCGTTCAAGAATAAATAAATAACAGAAAAGTTCACCGATTTCAATAAGCAATGAAATTAAAATTTCAATTCGTGCACTGCTGAATATTGGTTTAAATAAACTTCCCGCACTAACACCAAGTAAAATGAAAAAAAATTTACGTTCGCTTGATTTATCTAATTGTTGCTCTTTTTGTAAAAATAAATAATCAATTGTTCTGCCAAATTGAATAAATCGATTGCAATAATTACGATAGCAAGACAACGTGTTTTAAATGCACTCGATGAATTTTTAATGGAAATGCCTGAATTATTACTAATTAATACCATAAATCCAAATACCTATGCTAGAAAATACTGAAAATATATAAGATTAATTATTATAGTGATTTCAGATTTACTTTTTCCAGATTAGCAAAGAACTACAATGAATGTTATATTTTACGCATATGAAAAATAATATTACTTTTATTTAATTACTTCCGTCGTTTGTTTATATTTATTTGGTAATAATGAATGAAAGCCAATGATGTGTGACTCTATATGTACGTGTCATAAAATTATATATACATAAATATATCTATACAGCTTCACGTGTCGATTGATAATATATCTACGAAAATGAAAATACTGACTTATGAATACAAACGAACAAAATGGAACAGATAGGAGCTATAATTATATTTACAAAAAGAATTATTCTTTAAATATCGACTGCACGTTACTCATACAGATTAAAGTATTCAAAAATGCTTGTAAAAGAAAACGTAGTGAAAGGCCATCTATGACTATAATCATTATTTTTTCCATTGTGTCAAATATCAACGTACGAACAGTCCTTTTCAAAAAATGGTTCCATAATTACGTAAAATGACATGTGATTCTTCATTATCGAAATCTTTATCAACAGTAATTAGTCCATAATTCAAGAACGAACAGAATCCCATGAAGAAAAATAAATTGACGAAAAATTGAAGAAAAAAAAATAGTTTACTCTCTATTTACATAAGAATCGTCGTTAAAAGCTATCAAATAATTAGTAATTTTCCATATTTTTGGTTGATAATGTATTATCACAAATATTAGGTCATATGATGCGTTATAGCGATTGCCGGGAAATTGTACGGAAACACAGTCACGAATAAATTTCCGGAAATTGAGCTTCCCAATTTCCAAGCTTTGGAAATTAGGTGAGGTCCTCTTATATGGATGTTCGCATAGCCCGTATAAGAAGTCCTAACCTAATCTGTATGTTGGGAAATTCAGAAATTTCGCTATACGGAGTCGGCGGAAACTGCCAAAACTCATGAAGCAAACCAAATTCGCTATGCCCCTTCAGACGTCATAGCTATCGCAATAAGCATGAGTAGAAGTTATTGTTGAAAAAAAGTAACTGAAATGAAATCCTCATCACCCTCACCCGCATTTCAAACGCAAATGTCGAGCTCGTGGCCTAACTGATGAACAAATTGACACGTTAATTCAAACAAGGCATGGCAGAACATCTGAACAATTGTCAGATACGCAAGCAACCAGCTTTGATCAGTCGAGACAACCAGCGAAACGCAAAAGAGACCAATCTCAACTGAGCCTGCTGTCGGATTCAGTGAAATCTCTCAATCAATTATCACTCTCTGGACAAAAATCGACATCAAGTACAATAAAGAAGACAACGAAGAAGAAGAAATCGAGTCATATGGTGAATGCATCGAGTGATAACGACAATCGCGAATCAAACAACAAAATTTTTACATTTCACAAATCTTCAAGGTATTTGAGAATGCCAAAGAAACTACTTTTGCATTCATTACGGCTGCAACTCAGTCATCCAATCAAAATGAAAAAAGAACAGGCTTTCATCTTCACACGGCTTCAAGTACTTGATCATTGCTTCTGTCTCGATCAAGTGCGATATCTCTACCAGACATTTTTCGATCAAGGCAGAAGAGTTCAAATGTGGCCTGTAAGTATCACACAATATAATCAAATCCGCGTATGATATCATTATCGTATGTTCCATTTAAAGGAAAGCATTTCCAAAATTGTACAATCAACCCAACACACCGTCGTTCAAAAGTATCTGGAAGAGTTTTTGGTGTTATTATGTGATAAGATCAATGAATATACAACTGAATTGACGGATCAATCGTTGAATTGTCCACCAGCATTATCTCCGTTGGACATCATCGATGGAAGACTGAAAGAGTTCGTTCGTTTACATCATCTTGATTTTATCAGAGCAAATCATTATCGAATACACCAATTCAAAGCTGACATTCATGAAAAACAGCTCGGGAAAGAATTGTCGTTTTATTTTTCGAATGTCGATCAAGTAAGTATTATCTAGCCGTCAGCGTTCATCGTTTCTCTCACATATTTCTCTAGTTCGAACCAATCAATCGATTGACAAGTATCCGACAGAAACAAATGAAAGTTTTCGAAGAATTGACGATGTTCGAGCAACGCATTTCATGCCATCGATTACCTACATCTTTCGATTCTGCCATCATACCTAACCTCGATGTAAAGCAGCTGAGCAACAGTCACCTGAAGATACTACAAGAACTCAAGAGATTCATATTAAATGTTGAATTACAAGAATATGAAAACAAGATTGAGCATTACCAACTTTTATATCAAGAAGGGCTGACCGGTCTCCAGCAACAGATTGAGAACACTAACTCATCTCTTCCTCAACATCAGACGAAAATGTTACTTTATATTGTTCAGTCTTATTTGACAGCTTTTGCCGATCGACTGCTACGGCAAATACGTTTCAAAGAAACTTGCTTCCGTGTCAAATTAACACGACATCGCCGTCGTCAGCAACCATTCCTCTCATGCAATGTCGTTGACGTNCAAATGTGTCACAAATATACAGTAAAAATATTTTTAATATTTTATCTTTCTATCCTATTATTTGTAGGTACAACGAGGTACAAAGCGATGGCCACTATGTATTTTTTATGGTATGATAGATATGGCGGCTCTGAATGCTTTTATCTTATGGAAGGCGAAAAATCCAGAATGGAATCGAAACAAGAGATACCAACGTCGATTATTCATAGAAGAACTCGGAATTAGTTTTGTAACTCCTCTATTGGACTTTCGTTCGAAAACTTCAACATTTCTACATAAAGATATTCAAAGTGCTTTAGCTATTGTTAGTCATCCTGTAACGAAAAGAAATTCACAAGAATCAAATGAAGATCCTTCACAAAAAAAAACGAAAGCGGTGTTTAGCATGTGAAACATCTAAAGACAGAAAAACTTCAACTAAATGTTATAAGTGTTCTGCATTTGTTTGTAACGAACATTGAATAAAGCAGTTTTTTTGTATTAATTGTTCGAAATAAAGGACTAATATCTCTTCGTACTGTTTTTAAGCATATTGAACATCGCACTAGCATCCTTTTGACAGGATAATAATATTAGCATAGACAAAATAATTTTATAGAAGCATATGTTGCTATTGTAGTGCGTAAAAAAAGCACGGGCGGACTAGGGTTAATGATGATGAATTGTGCAAATATTTTAATAAATCTATTCGAAAACTGGAATCAGTTGGAACAATTCTGTAACATATTTACTAATCTTGAGTATCTTCAATGTTCTATCAGCGAATTCGAAACTTTATTTTTAATTAAGTATTTACCCAAATTAACGTGTATTCAAGAAATTATCAAATTATTTAATTAGAAATGAATTAGAAAATCTTGGTTTGGACATAGCTGGTGGTTTTGATACTGAATATGATCCTCATTTATTAGTTATTTGGATCAATCGATATTGATTAGAATTGAAGAATTTATAACTAAACTTATACGAAAATATAAAGAAACCTTTTTTGTGTTTTATGGTATACAGAATCTATTCCACGATGTGAATATATCGAGCTAACTTTTTATTCGGAGAAATAAAGAAAAATAGATAATTAAATATTCATCTTCTCTCGTGGACAAACAAAAACTGTCTTTTCCCCGTTTCCTGTTTGCATTGATTAATACATTGTTTAAAAAAATGGCAAAATATACCTGAAGATATAGTGTCAAAAGAACTACAATCTACAAAGTAAAACTTATTTCACTCATGTACTTCTTATTTTCAAAAATAACGAAATTCGATAAGACTAATGTCGTACGCTGAGAAAAATCCTGTTTTCTTATTACATTAGGCGAAAAAAAAGATGAAATAAGAGAAAAGGAATTCTTCATTAGCATAGAAAAAATTGATATTTCTGCAGCATCAAAAATTGGATACAAAACATTTTGTTTTTTTCAAACAGCGTATTAACTAATGCAAAAATGAAATGGAAACAAACAGTTTTTTGTCCACGAGAGAATTCATCTATCATACTTAATTAAAATACATTTCATATGAACAATTTTTTCATTGATTTTACGTCAGATTTAACTGCTGGAAAATTTCGCAAACAATACGTAGTGTTTTTTTCCCGTTTTTTATCAACAGAACTTGTAACTTTCTAATTTCGTAGTAATAATAATTCTTATAAAGATTCGATTGTTTAATACAGAATAGTTTATAGCACGTTAAAATAAAGACTAAAGACCTTCTGAACAAAAAAATCTCTTGATTTTTCTATGAATTACGTCAATGAAACGTTACAGAAATGTTAATTTGTTAAAAAAATATCGTTTTAATGTAACAGATGTCATTTAATCATATTGATTATTGTAAATATTTGGATGAAAATAAAATAAAAGATGCATTTTCAGTGTTTTTATCAATTTCCGCTTTAAAATGTGATATTCTGTTGAACATATGTATATAAGTATCTACTTTATTAACAAAAAAATCAAATGACGTATTCTATTTCATTTTTTTTATAAGAATTTCTTTTAAACTAAATTCATTGATTATAAATGATGGAAGACGAAAACAATCAAAGAATAGATGGATCATCAACAACTACAAAGTAATTCTTATTTTTAAAAAGTTTTATATAAAGAAATTTTCAATATTTTTTTAGAATTAAGATTGTTAGAAGAATACAATCACGGATAATAATTGGTGTTGCTTTAATTACTATGATTATCTTGGTAATTATTATTCCAATTACAATTACTTTAACAAAACAAACACATATGACAACAATAACATCAATTGAAACAACTTCATTACCTATAATAACAACAGACAATATAGTCATGACTACTAAGACGACAAACACAATAACAACAACAAGATTGGTTACAACTGCAACAAGTAAGTAATTTCAAACAGTATTCATATTCTAATTTGCGTTGATCAATCAACTTAAAAATTTTTCAAAATAGATTCTCAAATATTCAAACGTACAACTGAAAAAGTGTTTGCTATATGGAATACAACTGTAGGTGGTGATAGTACACCATCATTATCTAGTGGTAGTATAGGTACTTATTGGTCTACGGAACCCTCAGAAAATGCTTTAGATGGGAATATTTCAACAGAATATACAAATCATGGTATATGTAATAGTGAATCACCTCTTTCATTTCAATGTGGTTTAAATACTGGTCTTTATTTAACATTAGAAGTTAAACAAGCTACTCTAATTGGTTTTCAAATAGGTACAAATAAAGGTTGGTCTTATCGTGATCCATTAACAATTACAATTGAAGGAAGTAATTCAAATAAATCAGAATTAACTTTAGGAAAAAGTTGGATATTAATATATAATGGTACAACTGGTCTTACAATAGATCCAGGTAGAGAAAAATATGGTATATTACAAACAGTATATTATCCACAAACGTCATTTAGAAGTTATCGTATTCTTATTACTTCAATAAGAGGTGAAAGTACTTCTGTTTCATATTCGGAATTTCAAATGTTGGGATTTTTTCAATATAATTAAAATATTTTTTCTATTCCTTATAATCGATTATTCATGTTAATAGATCACAATACTAAACATGAAAATTTGAGAAGAATTTATATTTTAAGTAATCGATATAATGTGTTCTCTTCTATTATAATAACAAATAAATAATATATATATATGATTTAAATTTACAATATTGTTTTTTTTCTATATAGAAGATATGAATATTATATACCATTGTGTCTATTCTTTAGTCTATGATACGGTTTACTGTGAAAACGTCGAAAGAAAAAATATCGAAAGATAAAAATGTCGAAAAATAGCGCCACTTTCCACGTATTTTTTCGACATTTTTTCTTTCAACGTTTTTATAGTAAACCACATTAACCCTTTCGATCCCGCATGGCATCTCGTAGATGCCATAGAGAACACGAAAGATATTTTTTGGTTGTGTAGTGTAGTTAG